ATGATTCCTTGAGTCAGAGTCTAGGCCTGCAATGATTTAATAAACAGCATGTGTCCAAAGAGGGAAGAAAGACATGTTTGTTATTGAGCTATTCATGCCTTTGACCTTTAATAACTTTTACCTCCTAAAATTGAGATATAGACTTCTAAAGTTCAAGAAAAAAATGAAGTAAAATAAATCTTCATGCTTGACAGAAGGCATTTCAGATCCTTGTCTCTGTGCTTTTGTTCTTGGGGGATAGGCCAAGGTTGATCATAGCTGTTGAGGCAAACAGCAGACAAGTTGGGAGAAGAGCTCTGGCTGTAGTTAGATGCTGGCATGGTATGACTGGGCCAAGATCAGTGTGTCCTAAGGCAGGGAGGAGGGGCCAGAACACATGTTAGCGATCAGCAAAACAATTTGGGTCTGCAGAAGACAGTTGTGGAGTTCTAAATTTGTAGGTGAGAGTCAAGTTATGAGGTGGTACTGGAAGCAAGAGAGGAAGACCAGCACGTTGAGCACGCTCAGTTTGAAATGCCTGTTGTAACTCCAGTGAGCAGCTAGGACACATTATGTAGTTATCCATTTGTCTGTAATGGGACTAAGATCACAATTTTGTCTGCTGCGTTTACTTTTCTTTTTGAGTCAGGGTCTTAACTGTGAGGCCCAGACTGACCTCACAATGGCAATTTTCTGCCATAGCTTCCCAAGTGCTGGAATTACAGGTGTGCACCGCCATACCTGGGGTCTTTGTCCTCATTCTAAGGTTTATTAGGCTTTGCCACTTTGCCACTAGAACAGTCTTTATAGTGGGATTGGCTCAATGTTGAAAACACACATACAGAAAAGAAAGTGCTCATAACCACTTCCATCACGCAGGACACTGGTCCTTACTCTCAGTCACCTGTTTGTAATTTTCCTTCTTTACCATTTTCTCAAATGATGTCATTTGTAATAAACGGTACATCTGGGTTTGCAGTACATACTAGCCACCATGACTTGTTAAATATTTCATACAGACTTCTGAAAATGTTTGTTTTCTTTCATGAGTAGTCAATTGACTGTCTCTATGGTTAAGAAATGGGGGTGGGGGACAGCCTCAGGTGGTAAAGTACAAATTTGGCCTTTTTAGTTGTTTCCATGTTGTTTTTTCTGATTTTTCCATTTTACTGGACAGGAACTAGAAAGTTAAGGAATCAAACGTCATGAAGCAGAGTCCCAACTTGCCTTAGATCAGACCTTGACCATATACTAAATGCCAAAAAGGTGAAATTCTATTCATATATAATCCTCCAATTGGCAAACAACATTCTGAGGTGGAGTTTAAAAATAATAAATGACTTCCACATAAGCCATGAGTTAACGGCAGTAGACTTCCTTATAGAGTTTGAATTATTTCAGGGGAGCCTGATATGGGACAACGAAAAAGTATTTAATTTTGCCTGATATACTTTGAAAAGGGCAACAGATAAAAATGCAAATATGGAATTTACCTAAGCAAATGAGGTAGAAATGGTTGTAGGCATTTCTAAGACGGTAGAGAGACAAACAGCAATTAAGTTGTTTTAGTTACTACTCTAGACATATCCTATGAATAGGGTAGACTGTATAGATAGATGAGGGTGATCCCTGGACACTTCCAGCTTCATGTCAGTGCTTTGTTGTCCCTGAGGAGATAAGCTTCATCATTTCACCAGTTCTCAGAGTAGGGGACTCAGTCTAGAATGCTGGGACCTTATGGATTCAAACCCAGCCCTGCCTAGTAGGACATCACACCCTTGTTTTGGCGGTAGAGGGATTGCTTCGTTTCCTGGAGTTGGCTCATTAAAGCAATAGCCCTGATCAAAGGCTAATGAAGATGGTGATAAATGGTAGACCTAACTGGCTGAGAACTGGCAGGATTTTCCACTGTTCCGTGTTGCTGCTGATGTCATTGCAGCGACGGCAGACAAAACCGTAGGTTGTACTGGTGGGGCACAGATGAGTTAAACACGTTTTGATGTATAGAAATGCTTTAGAGGATGTTCAAAGGTATTTAATTATACCTTTTATTTTCACATGCACACACAGACAGACACAGACACAGACACACACACACACACACACACACACAAAACTATGATAAATTCTTCAAAACAAACAACAGAGAACTTGACAAAATAAACTGTTGCAAACCTTCGGTTTGACCAAAAAGCCACCAGCCCTGGTTGTTTTCGTCTTCACACTGATGAATATTTCCCACATAGAGTAGTTAGAATATTATAACAGAGAACTGAGCTATTGGGTTTTCAAAACAGAAGGGACCTCAGCTGTCATCTAGTCCAGTGGTTTTCAAACTTGATTTCAGCAGCAGATTGTTTTTCTTTTAAAAGTGAAATCTTAGGCAGAACCCCATTTTGTAAAACAGGTAAGAATAACAAGTGGGTTTCCCTGGCCCTTTAAATCCTGATTGGCAGGGCAAACAGTTCTTCCGTGCCTACAGAATCCTTTGTGCACACCAGGTGTCACAGTTTGAAAACCACTGATCTAGTCCAACCCTTTCATTTTACAGATGAGCAAACTGAGGTCCAAAGAGGTTAAGTGACTTGCCCAAGGTCACACAGCTAGTCGTGGAAGAGCCAGGACTAGCTCTCAGGTCTCTTGACTTCCAGTCCCGTGCTCTTTCCATTACACCACACTGCCGGTAAGGTAGGTGCTGGGTTAGCATTATGTTCATAGCTCGTGATAGTCTTCACTGCTTTCCAACTGATGTGTGCTGGTAATGTGTACTGAATGCCAAACTATATTATTCAGAAATGTATAGGATATGAAAGTGCACATTAGAGTCACATAGACACACTTATGATAAATCAATATCTAGAATGTTTCCTTCACTTTAAAAACTTATTTAGGTAATGTCTGAGCTATATTGGATACTTTAGTCTGATTCCAGTGATCAATATGTATGGAGTCATTATGTTTAGTGCAGACACGTACCTGATGAGAGCGGCATTGAGATTCTGGCCGCCTTTCCCGTGGTGGCCATGGAGGGCTGTCATTTCCAATATTGGTCAGTATCCTGTCTGCACAGCAGGACATCCTTCTTTACCTTGTAGCGGGCATGAATCACTTTACATTAAACTCTGCAGATGCCCTCCATTCTTCAGGTGCTTGCACCTTCTGTCTACAGCCTCTTTATCCTTCCCAGTCTGGTGTGCGTAAATATTCACTGTGACTCTACCCTACAAGAACAGAAGGGAATGTCACCGTAGAGCCCTGTGGCCTCTGATTATCTCTAGCCATGATACAGTTTCCCCTCCAGTGTTCCTCTCTACTGTAATCAGACACAGACTGTCACTAGTGCCAGGAAAAAAGAAAAGGTTTCCAAGGGCCTCCATAACGATTCATCAACTTCAAAGTAAAAAGGTGCATAGAAATCTCCAGCCTCCATGAACTGGTACAATTCTTATGAGGAGACTGACTCATCTAGGAAAGTAGATGTTACCAATGTTACTGCTGCTTGGGGATGAGAGCCAGCTGCTAAAACATTAGTGTATAAGCCCTGATTGCAGCCGAAGTGGGATGCAATTTGTTCCTATCTTATCTGCTTTATCGGGTTAGACTACAAATCTCAGAGCAGCGACTGGTTATCAGGTTTCATTTACAGGATGCATTCCTACCGAGATCTAAGTTCAAAGTTTTGTGCTTTACATGCTGAAGTTCCCTTGAGGTTGTTCTTGTACTGCTGTATGACCTCACAACCTCAGCTAGGACACACAGATTCTCTAAGGCATGTGCTTCCTCAACTGTAAAATAAAGTAAGTGCAAAGGCCAGGGGTGGAGCTCACTGGCAGTGTTTGCCCAGCATGTGAGAAATTTGGGGTTCAATTGCCAGCATCTCTTACCACCTTAAAAAATAGCAGTGGCCTGGGTCTTCCTTTTAGCTCTACATATTTCTGTATGACTGCTGATTGTGTTTTCTCTTTGTTTTACTGACTCAAGATAATGTCGGGGGTTCTAGAAATTGCATGACTTAGTATATGAATGAATTCAGCGAGGTCATTGAACTGCAGTAGTATCTTGGTGAAGATAGAAATATTTTATTTCTTTGAGGTCTAGTTCTGTAGCCATTAGCTACAGGTGGCTATTGAACACCTGAAATGTGGCTACCATGAAATTGTATTTAAAACTTATATTTTAAACTTCCACATTGAACAACATGTGTTCTTGGACATGAAAGTCAGATGCCAGGTAAAATAGACAGATGTCCTTTATCTAGAGAGTGATGGCTTTCTTCTGATAAAACATCTTTGAATACAATAGATCTTTTCTTTCATCTTTAACTTTTTATTTTTTATTTATTTTTATTTTACATGTATGAGTGTTATGCCTACATGTATGTAAGTGCACATATGTCTTGCATTGCCCACAGAGGACAGAAGAGGGAGTCAGATTCCCTGGATCTAGAGTTATGGACTGCTGTTAGCCACTGTGTGGGTGCTGGGATTCGAACCTGGGTCTTCTGCAAGAACACCTAGTGCTCTTAACCTCTGAGCCAATTCTCCAACCCTTTTCTTTGATTTTTTTTTTTTTTTGAGACAGGGTCTCAATATGTATTCCAGACTGGCTTTAACTTGCAATCCTCCTGCCTCAGTCTTTCAAGGGCTGGGATTATAGGTTATAGGCCACTTCTACAGCAGGTTTTAGAGTAACTTGTGAGAAACCAAGTACCTTCTTTGCATGAGATTGTTGTCTATAGAAGGAGGCTGGGATTTCTCTTTGTTGTGACTTAATCACATGAGGTAAAGCTGCAAAGATGTTTGCTAATTTGATGACAAGTGAAGCCTCTTCTTCTGTTGACTTAGTGAACATTTCTGCCTGAGCATGGGTTTTAGTGAATTCCCATAGGGTTTCTGGGAAGCTATGTTTTGCAAGTCTAAGACCAATAAAGAAATGTTCTGTTGATGGTACAAGCTCAAATTGGAGTGTCTGAACAATGCTGAGTACTTTATGCAACAAAAGTCTTTCTCTTCCCTCCTCAGAACCAAAGAAAATGGCTTTGACAGAGAGCCTTTGCACTCAGAACATCCAAGCAAGCGACCATGCACTATTAGCCCAGGCCAGCGGTACAGTCCAAATAATGGCTTATCCTACCAGCCAAATGGCCTGCCTCACCCCACCCCACCTCCACCTCAGCATTACCGTTTGGATGATATGGCCATTGCCCACCACTACAGGGACTCCTATCGACACCCCAGCCACAGGGACCTCAGGGACAGAAATAGACCTATGGGTAAGACTAAAGGATCTATTTTCTTCTTTGGGGATTGGATATTTGAAGATTTTTGCTGTTACTTCTCTACTGAATTTGAGACGTGCAATCTGATAGGGGTAAATACAAGTCTTTATGTTGTATTCTTTATGAAAGAATTCAGAATTAATATACTCACCTTTAATCACTTGTATTTTAGTTAATTGATTTGTTAATTAATTTTGAAATAGTGTCTCAAACTTGCAGTCTCTTACCTCTGCTTCCCAAGTGCTGGGATTATATGCATGTACCACAACATTTTGGCATCACTTGTAGTCTTCTAGAGAATAGGTTAATTTTTTTTTGTTGTTTGGAGGAGAGCATAAAATATAAAACCCTTAATTGTAGTACAAAAAAGAAAAAAGTGGCTTTTACCTTGAATTCTTTCTAAACATGAGATTTCATATACATTGCAGCCACAGATGCTTTAATTATATTTTTTGTCTCAAAGTTCATTTGGACATTTCCAATCTCCATCCTGTTTCATATTTCTGAGATATTATACAGCATGCTGTCTGTGGCTTAACTTGGCAGGAGGAATACTTGGTACTTTTCTTTATTTGAAAGTGCCAATGATTAAAGTTAGTGCCAATTTTGCATCAAATAATAGAATGCAGAAGGCATGACTTTGGGCAAGTTTGTCTTCTATTTGCCTGCGTCCATATCTTCATTTCATACGATCCTGGAAGTGAAGGTTTTAGGAGACTTTGAAAGAACAAATTTCTACCATGGAAATGTCAGAGGGAGGTAAGTTTTGACTTATAGGTGTGGTTGAAGTAATGGCATCGGCATCAGGTAGTTAGTAAGCATGCTGTTCCTGGGACGTCCTGAGCTCTTAATTTGTGGTGACTCTAACTGGGAGCGGCAGTCAGCCTGTTCTTCCTTTTGCATTTCCTGTGTCCATAGCACCCACTAGAAGGTGTTCCTTTATCACAAAACTAGCTGTTGGCAAACTTACCTAACGTGGGTGATTTGGTGGCTAGCATGCATTGGATGAAATTTTAAGTCACAAACCAGAAAACTGGGCTGAAGATGCATAATCCCGAAAAACAGCCTACTGTTTGAATAATAGTGACAGTTGCTTTGCTGTTTTACGTTGATGTGAGATTTCCAACTAGATTACTAGATTACTAAGAGTTACCATATGTTACCATATGTAGGATCTCGTCACCCTTCTGTGTTCAGCCTTCTGTGTGTTTAGAAAGCAGTGAGGGAGAGTCAGAAGAGGGTTCAGGGAGAGTGATGATTGAAGCTTTGCTTGTGAGATACTAAATTGATGCTTCTGGTAGCCCATGGCAGTAATTTCTCCATTTATATAGTATGTCAGACAAATGGCTAAGCATATAATTTGTGCTTTCTTAATAGCCAATCTGTCTAATGCTCTCCCAGGTACCATTTCTGAAGAGCTTTCAAAAGTGGTTATATTCTTCCTCAGTCTGGACTGATATTTTTGACCTAAATGTCATATGTGCTAACAACTTTCTTCTATGCAAAAACTGTACCATTTATTTATGGCTTAAGACCTAAAAACTATAACTGCTCATTTTTAAACAACAGTGGAATCCTCTGGCCACTATAAGGCCAGTTCAAGAGATGCCCTGTCTTCCACATGAAAATGGCTTCTTTCTTAGGCAGCAAGTGCTATTTGATGAAATATTAGTTATTGGGCACCAAAGACTAATCAGCAAGAAAGTAATTACACTTACGTGCAATAATTATGTTTTCATCTAGTAAAATGAAATACCCCTTTATGCATTATATCTGCAACCACTGGTTTTATGTGACTTTCTTCAGACTGTGTTTCTTACCTTTTAATTATATTAGCTTATAAAACTAATAGTGCTAATCTCTATAAGTATATGCAGCTACTTAAGCATCCCTAAATTCTGGAAGAGTTTAGTGTGTATTAATGTAAAATAAAATCTTGATGGATGTATTATGGTGTTATATCAGGCTGCCATTTTATGGATATAAAAATCATCATAAAGGTGTGGTTTGTAAATGCCTATTATGTGTAGAGGCATGTACTCATTAGAATCTTTAATGAGCATGAACTATTTTCTCCTTGTACATCCTTCTACCATTATCAATATAAATCGAAACCTGATGGTATATGACATTGGGATATTGAGAAATGTAAAATTTCATTTTCTTATTTTTTTTCTTATTCAATTCTATCTAACTTTGACTTGTAGACTTCAAAAGCATCCAACGAATCCTTTACTTCTTTACCAAATACTGGGAATCAAGCTAGTTTCTAATATTATTTTCTTTTAATAAGATGACACTTAGCACTGTTCCATAAGGGTTGGACTCCATTGGCCACACACATCCCATTTCTCATTAGTTATTCCTGGTGTTAGAATGTGTATTGGTGTTGTGTAGTGTGCTGAAGTTTTGATACATTTGAGACTTCTATAATTCTTGGTCCTTAAAAGCAGATATCTAGTTGCCCCTGTTATGAATGTCCTTGTCACATTTATATTCTTACTGCTCTCTAGTTGTTTTCTGTGATGACTAATTTTAACATTAGTGCTTATTTCCCCCTAAAAACACAGGCAACAAATAAGTCAACAAAGATTACATATTTGCAAACATTTCAACTTGAAATAATCACAACAAACAGCAATAACTAAATATTACTTTTTCCTAGTGTCTTTTCTGTTATGCAAATTAGTAAAACATATTTGTAGTTTTACTTTTTTACCAATAGGTGGCATTGACAATTTTAACTTTTAAAATGTATTTTTGAGTATTTTCTAATTGGACAAGAAGAAGCAGTTTATATTCAGCACATTTTATTCAGTTCCATTAGTCATAAGTACACATATACTCATGGTTGGCTAAAGAATGTCATGTAACTCATCTGTGGTAGGTCGCCCCCCCTCCCCCACTTGCTGTAAATCAGCTAAGAGAAAGGATTTCTAAACACTTATATTTCACAGGAAGCAGAATGCAGTGTCTTCTAGGTCTAGAGTTATTTAGTTCTTAAAGACGGCCCTCAGGGAAGGACACTCCGTGTCTGGAAGCGCCCAGGCCTGCCAGACCTAATCTTCTGTTTAGAGGAGCACTGTGCGGAGTGCAGCCAGTTGGATGGATTTGTTCATCTAAAATGGAAAATAATGTCCTAGACCAGTTGCTGTTCTTTGACAGTTGAATGTAAAGGGCTCTGTCCATGGGGAGTCTGTAAAATGAGCCTCTGATCAGGGCCTTCTGTCCTTTCAGTGAGACACAGAAACTATTGTTTTCAGATGAGCATCTTAGCAACCACTCATATTCATTAGCGTTGCTGCTGGAGCCAGGAGTGGTGGCTCAGACCTGTGATTTCAGCACATCGGAGAGGTCAGCCTGAGCGACAGTGACACTACCACTACGTCTCTGAAAACAAAACAAAACAGCCAGGTGTGGTGGCGTGCGCCTTTGTTCCCAACACTGGGGAAGCAGAGGCAGGCAGATCTCTGTGAGTTCAAGGCCAGTGTGGTCTACATAGTGAGTTCCAGGCCAGCTGGGGCTACAAGGAGATCTCCTTCTGTCTCAAAAAGACCAAAAACAAAACAAACACAAAAACTGGTGTTTGCTTGGTGAACATTTACATGTTGCCCTGTGTGTGTGCGCACGTGTATGCACAAGCACACACAGGCATATAGTATACAAAGGCTGACATTGAGTATCTCCCTCAGTTGTGCTCTAACTTACAACTTTGAGACAAGGTTTCTTCCTGAACCTGGAGCTCACCAATTCGGCTAGACTGACCATCAAGCCCCGGGGATTGCCCTGTCTTTGTCTCCCCAGACGTGCTGTACTGCTGCACCTGGCATTTTACTCGGGTGCCAGATATCCAAATTCAGTCCTCAAGCTTGCTCGGCAGGCAGTTTAATGACTGAGACATCTCCGCAGCCCACATTATTTTTTAATAGTAACTATGACACAAATGAAGATTAATACTTATGAGTTTCAAGTAAGAATTTTCAGTTTCTTGCCTTGAATATATATTGGTTAATTATAACTAGCATGTTGATTTTTTTTTTTCATAAAGACTGTCTTATGGTGCTGGGTATGGTGGTATATTCCTGTATTTCTAACACTTTGTTGGTTGAGTCAGGAAGATTGAGAATTTGAGGCCAACCTAGGTTGTAGGTTGAAACAAAAACAAAAACAAACAAAGCAGAAAACCACACATAAAGAGTATCTCATTTTTTTTAACTTTTTATATTTTGATAAATTGAATGATTGCATGCAGCTATGATATCTGAGCTTTTTCAAAAGTTCATGGCCTAGCTTTATCAATGAGGGGTGTGTATTACAATTGTATTCACTTATAACTATGCTGAAATGTAAAACTTTTTACCATGCTTATTTTGAGAAAGCATATCCTTTGTAAAATAAGTTACTCTGTCTTTATTTTTAATGCACAGTAACCACATTTTGAAATGTATTGGTTAATTGACAGACTCTTTGTTGGGAATTGAACACAGGGCCTCATGAATGCTAAATGTACTCTTGTAACACCACACTACCTTGGCACTCCAAACGTAAGAAATCTCATCCCTGATTTCTTGTGTTCGTTAGAGTTAGGGAGTACCATGTGCACGGTCAGCTCTTAACTCTGATAGGTCCTATCAAAGTCATCATGTGTTCATATTGGGTTGTTGTAGATGAGTCGTCATTGTGTGCTGCATGACTCAGGATGATTAAGCCTCCTTCCCTCCATTTGTAGGGTTGCATGGCACACGTCAAGAAGAAATGATTGACCACAGACTAACAGACAGAGAATGGGCAGAAGAATGGAAGCATCTCGATCATGTAAGATAGCAGTAATCCTATGGGTTGAAAATGTTTTGAAAATAACTGAAATGAGGTCATGTGACACTCTTTGAAAGTATTACATTTCGTCTTCTTGAGAAAAAAAAATGAGTGTGAATGTTTGAAGTAGAATACAGGGTCTGGTCTCTAAACTGATTCGAAAGTTACTTATGAGTGATATTTTGATCTTAGTAAAACACAGACCAGCAGTCTACTGTTTCACTGTGAAAGGGTCACTTAGCTTATAGATTAATAGGCTCTGTATTTGGAGAGATGGATTTCCTGGCCATAATACTGTTAAGTAAAAATCTGCCTGTCATGATTCCCATTTATACCTTCTGGTTATTTTTCTTCTCTCTCCCATTGAATTTGTTCAGCTATGAGGTCTGAATTTCAACTCCTCCCATTGATGACAGTATTAAACCAAAGGCTTCAGGAATAAAATTGTGTCTTTCATTGGTCTGAAATGTTTTGTGGCATTATTCATCAACTTCTTTTAATGTGTGGAGATATATATGTTCTTCCCTTTCCCCTGTTCCACATATAGCTGTTAAACTGCATAATGGACATGGTAGAAAAAACCAGGCGCTCCCTCACCGTACTAAGGCGATGTCAGGAAGCAGACCGAGAGGAGCTGAATTACTGGATCCGGCGGTACAGTGATGCTGAGGACTTAAAAAAGGGCGGCAGCAGTAGCAGCAGCCACTCCAGGCAGCAGAGTCCCGTCAACCCAGACCCAGTTGCATTAGGTACTTTTTTCTTTTTTCAAATGAGCACCTTGAACGCCTACTTCTTACTCTGTTCTTACTGACTTCATTTTAAACATGTGTTTCCAAAAACAAGGAATGCTGGGAGAATTTAAGGGCAAAACCACTTCACATATCTTGTATATCATTTTGTCTGTTAGGGAAGAGGGTGAATTGGCATGGCAAGAAATGGTCATAAAACGCACTCTCTTTACAGGTGAACGCAGTGAGCCAATGTCTGAGTTTCAGAACTGAACCAGACTGTGTGCTCCCTCACAATATAGCTGTTAGGATCCTGCCCCAAACCAGTCAATACACAAACTCAGCCATGGGCCTGGGGGTGTCTCTATTTCTAGCAAGATCTCTAAAAGACTCTTCTACTGCACGCAAGAATGTATCTTTTCTAATTGTCAATTAAGGTATAGTTTGTAAGACAAGCTTTTATGTTCCTATATTGCATAATAAACTAAAGCCACCCTTCCCCAGTGTGCCCTCTAGAATGCTTCTGCCACATGGAAATCAGTGATTACAAGTGTAGCTCTTCTGTGATTTGATCTTAGATTGTTTGGGGGATTTTTTATTTATTTTCAGTTTTTGAGGTAGGGTCTCCATGCAGCCCAAGCTGGCCTGGAACTCGCTTTGTAGACCAGACTGACCTTAATCTCTTAGAGAACCACCTGCCCCTACCTCACAAGTGTTGGAATTAAAGACATGTTGGAATTAAAGACTCCTGGCTTGGTCTTAGATTGTTTGATCATGATTTCATTAGTTCTAGTTACTTAATGCGGCTAGTTACATAATGTTATAATAATGCTATGTAATGTTATAATCACCCCTACTATGAACCTATATTTGCTATTGATATTTGGGGATTATCATAGTCATAAATAGAAATCTTCTAAATACTGAAAGATCTTAACTTGAAAGAATTCAAGTGGCCTGAGAACTTTTCTCTAAATGAATAAGAAATGTCATCATTTGCAAGTTTACATCACTGGCCATTCTACTATTTGAGTAAGCTTACTGGAGAATTTTGTTTTGTCTTGTCTTTTTTTGAGACAGGTTCTTACTTTGTAGCCCTGGCTGGCCTAGAACTCACACATCCACCTACTGAATGCTGGGACCGAAGACGTGCATCACAATGCCTAGCTATAACTCAGTTTTTTAAAAATACCATCCTCGCTACAAATTGAATTGAATAGCTCTGGTGCAGAATAAGCCTGCGATTTGATATCATCTCACTATGGCTGACTCAGAATTGAAAACTTGAGGCATATTTACCTGGCTGTTATTCTCATGTTAGCTTTTTTTTTATCTTTTTGAGACAGGGTCTCCCTGTAGCCCCAGCTGTCCTGGAACTCACTATGTAGACCAGACTGGCCTTGACCTCACAGAGAACCGCCTGCCTCTGCATCCCAAGTGAGTGCTGGGATTAAAGGCGTGCGCCACCACGCTCAGCCCATGTTAGCTTTTTATATGAAAATATTCTGAGCTAATGCACTGTCCTTTGGACTTAGATTTGTGGATTTCTGCTAATCCTTGATGCTAAATGCTCGTTGTCCATAATAAATATTAAATAAGAAAGATTCCTAGGTATGTGATTTACCCAACAAGCATTATTCTAAAGAGTTTATAGACACAACAGCATTGTATTGTCAGGTTGTATTAAGGCAAGTAATGAAAACAGAATTGTTTGATTTGAACCAGTATTAGTCTAAACAAAGTTATGAGGAGCAGAGTACAATATAAGCATCTTGTTTTTATCTCCTTACTGATGTCAAAAATTGGTTAATCATGGCAGATTTGTAAGGATGAAAGAAGGGAGATATTTATAACCAACAATTATAGGCAGAAATTGAGAGCCCTAAAGTAAATAGGCCTTTGGAAGCAGATATGGTTTGGTGGGCTCTGTGGCACACAGAGTCAGCACGTACCTGTTGAGGTTTGCCATATGGGAAGCACTGTAAAAGTTAAGGTGATGCTTCATTCTGGCCCTCATTCTGGGCTTTTGGATCCAGTGGAAGAGATACACAAGCGACCATCTGAGTCAGCTTTCCATTGCTAAGGACTTTTCAGAAGTTGACTACTTTGTAGATAGTCACCACCACTGCACAATCTCTGACCATGATAATGCACAATCACATTCTCTAGGAAGACACCTTTGGTCTCTGTGGTACATAATCGAAAGAATAGACTTGGCTTACAGAAAATCTTTTCCTTAAGAGTACATAAATTACTATTTTTAGTGATGTTTAATGAATTCATATTCTTGGTAAAGCTTAGGTGTTGCTTTAGCTTTAAGCCTTCATAAGTTATATTCTTCAATGGCTATGGACTTACTTGACTTCACTGTTTAGACTTTTCTCAGCTGGCCTGGAATTCACTATGTATACCAGGCTGGCCTTGAACTCTTTTGCCTTCTGAGTGCTGGGATTAAAGGTGTACCCCACCTCGGCCTGGCCATTGATTAGACTTTTAGGATAGTCCTGTGATTTTGGAACATAGAACCCTAAACTGCCTACTGAGAAGCTACCACAGATGTTAAGCGCTATATAGTTCACAGATTCTAGCATCTAGTGGTTCTTTTTCTTTCGTGTCTTTGCTAGTTGATTTGTGACTCCTTTGGATTCTGTTTCCTGGAGCCATGTCTGGCTGTAAGTGAGAAGACAGGTAGTTTGTTATCACAGACCATGTGCATTTACACGCAGTGCTTTCTAACTGAATGCACAGATATGTGTAATAAAAAGAATAGGGATTAATGACAAAAAAATCTATTTTCTTTTGCTGGAAAGTGTCTTGTGGGTGCATGTGCACAGATTAAAGCTATGAACAGGTCTGTAGTTTTACATACATGTAGATCTCTTTATACTATAAGTTGTGTTTTCCAAAGTTTTAAGCTGTCAAGTCTCAAATGAGACCTTCAGAATATATTATAGAATATATATTTGGTTCCAGATACTGCCCCACTTCCATCACAAACTTGGAAATACTTGGAATGTTTAGCCAAACACACATTCTTAGCATTTTAAAATGGTGTTTTGGGACTTCATGGAAGAAAATGTGACTTCCATGACTGATGTGCTGGGTTTGTTAAGATTCAATCCCAGCCTCGCTTTTGAAATACATCCTCAAGATTAAGTCAGTGTGGGGAATTAGAAAATAACACGATTAATCTATCGCTCATTGAATTTTGGGAGTTTTCCCCAGACAAGGAATAAAGACTGTATTGTGAGTAGCCTCTGACAGTTTGAAACACTGATAGCACCCTGATCTCATCATGTTGTCTCCGTTCTTTAAATAAAATGCAAGCTGATACCATAAAGGCTTATCTTTTTCTTCTCTTTCTTTCTTTTTCTCTTTTTCTTTTGAGATAGGATTCATATAGCTCAGACCTGCCTCCAACTAGCTATAAGTTTAGGATGACCTTGAACTCCTGATCTTCCTGCCTCTGTCTGAAATTCTGGGATTTCAGGCTTATGCTCCCATGCCTATCTTAACAGACTTTTCAAATTAGATTTTTCATTAGAAAAATCAGATAATTATTATTATTTTTTTATTATTTCTCTTTTGTTGTCCAGGGAAAACCCTAAAGATCCAACTGCTAACGGTGTTAGAAAGCTGCTTTTCAAACTGTTGTCTTTCTTTTTAAAGTGCAACCCTTATGCATTCAGGTTTTATTATGATGTGTGCTTGACTGGCAGAAGGCTGACCTGAGGAGAACTGACAGATATAATCACTGACTTGTATACCAGCATTGCCTTGTATAGAGGGAACCTCGCCCTGGCCCTTCATGAGATCTGGAGTGCCAGGTCCTATCTCTTCCCTTGTGTACAGTTCCTTCTCTTTTCTCTTGGTTCCTAACATTTTACTCCCTTTAAATTACTTTTTTTTTCACTAACTTTCGAGTAGTCTAGAATCTTTCTGCAGTTCATTGGGGGGGGGGGGGTCCTCCTTCTGTTTTTCAAGACAGTTTAAAACATCGTTAGAAGCCAGGCATGGGTCCATGCCTTTAATCTCAGCACTCAGGAGGCAGAGGCAGGTGTATCTCTGTGAGATCAAGGCTACCCTGGCCTACATAACCAGTTTCAGGCCAGACCTGGGGTTACAGGCAGACCTATCTCAAAACACAAATGTGATGGCGCACGCCTTTAATCCCAGCACTTGGGAGGCAGAGGCAGGCGGATCTTTATGAGTTTGAGGCCAGCCTGGTCTACATAGTGAGTTCCAGGACAGCTGGGGCTACAAGGAGACCCTGTCTCAAAAAAGACAAAAATAAATAAACAAACAAATAAATAAATAAATAAATAAAACAAAGATCCTTAGGGAGGGTTTGAAAAGAAAATTTATTAGTGAATTTAAGGCTAATGTCAGAAACTGAGATATAAAGCCTTGAAGTCTGATGCATTCATTCCTTGTAGGTTTTTGAAGGAATACTATGATGCCACGGCAGTAATTCAGAAAGTTTCTCTATGTGTGTTTTGGTAAGAGTTTAGCTCTTGCCAGAAAGATAATTGCCAGAAAGAAGTTTTTGGTTTAATTTAAGTGGAAGAAAAAAAATCAAGCTGGCCTCCTAGAAAGTTTAGCATTTAAAGAGTTTCTTGAAATGGTGACTTGACACTTTAAACTCAGTAGTGAGACTGAAGTTTAGGATTTCTCCTTTCTCTCTGATCTAGCACTGTAGGTGAAAGTGCAGCTTCTGACTAGATTCTGGATTTGAATTCTTGATTCTTTCCATACTTGTGAATTTGGTCAAGTCCCAGATTTCACTGTGTCTCAGTTATAGATGAGGGTCATGGATAAAATGAAGATAGTAATAATACACACACCACAGATATTTGGAATTTAGGCTTTTCTATCAGAATTAAGAGGCCTAAGACATAAAAGGGTGTCTGATACATAGTGAATGTAATATAAGTATTGAAGTATCGCATTCTCCAAAAGAATTTGAAAGAATAGTGTTTAGTGAAATTCATGGATTTTTTTTTTGACTCAGGCGTTCAACGTGTGCATGTGTGTAAATTTTATGTGTATGAGTGTATTGCCTGCATGTTTGTAAGTGCACCCGTGTTGTGCAGTGCCCACAGAGGTGAGACGAGGGCACTAGATGCCCTGGAACTGGAGTTACGGATGGTTGTTAGTTGCCATGTGAGTGCTGGAAACTGAACCTGGGTCCTCTGCTAGAGCAGCCAGTGCTCTTAACCCTGGAGCCATCTCTTCAGCCCCTGGGCGGCCAACACTGTAAGGTGATAGTGGATTCTTAGATATTTTTTAAGCTACAAAATATTTCCAAGCATGATTTTTATTGGCAGAGAAATTAAAAAGGAATTCTGCCTTAAATGGAGTATTGTATCAAATTTATTCTACACAACTGTAGAAACATAGTTTTTCTTCAACCAAAGAAACATTTTTCAACTTCTGTACTACCAGAATATAAAACTGTAAGCAAGTTGAATAGACCTGTGTGTAAAATTTAGATTTTTATACACTTCTATCGATTCTTTTAAATCACATCATGGACATCAACTGAGTTTATAATGCAAATCCTATTGTGATTTAAAAGCTTACTTTATTAGTAATATTAGGTTTAGAATACTGTTAATTAAATATGCTCATCTCAAAAACAAGGAGATGGTGCTTTCTGGAACATTAGGTATGCTAATGATTAAAGACAGAAGTGTGAATGCGGCAGCTAGCTTCTAGGTGATGTGTGGGCTTCTGAAAGATAGTCTCAAATTTTCTGAATTTATCATTAAGAAAACAAAAGTGGCATTTATAAGGATGAGATCATTTAACCTTTCCTTTCTTTTGATAGTTTCTGTAATAGATATTATCATGATCACAGCCTCATTCTGCCCACTACAGGATGAAGGTCATGCGTAGGTGCTGCCGAGCTTTGAGCATTGCTGTCCTGAGTCAGATGAGGTCCCATTGGTTCTCCAAAGGCTCTCAGCTCATCCCTTCATGTATATTGATGGCGGCCCTTGCTGTATCTAGTCCCCAATGGTCTCCATTCTGTCGTAAGTGTAGTGCATCTTCCATCTCCTTCATACATCGTAGATTGCTCTTTGTTTTCTTTCACATTTCTTGTAACATTTCCCTCCACTCTGATTGGTTCCTTCTCTTCATAGGTGTCTGTTATCTTAAGGAGGTTGGCTTGCCTCCTCTTCCCTCTACCGCCAAGCAATTTGTACCTCCAAACAAGCTAAACTTAATTTAGAAGGACTTTTCTATAATGTTCTCATCTATCAGTAATTGCATTGTATACGTGTTTTGCATTGTGAATTAGAATCTTCTATAGGCTCTCCTGTCTTTGTTTCTGCCGATATATTTTAGAACAACGATCCATGTTTACAGCAACTTATATTTTAAAGGTAGTTAATAGTTAGAATCTGAGCTTTACATTCTTAGTGTTTTCTTCTCTAGCCAGTGTTTTTAAAGAATACGGTGCTAAGACACTTGTCTCTTTTTCTCATATTTATCAACTTCAGGATTTTTGTTTGTTTCTTAAGCTCCTTTTGCTTATATAGATTCTGCTGTTGCTGCTACTTAATCAGAAGATACATTAAATGCATTAATCATGTAGTTTCTATAATCTGTTGAAGTGATAGCTTTAGTAGTCGTCACCGAAACAGATAGATTTCAAGGAGTAAACATACTGATGTCTCAGTCCTTCCCATTCTTAGACCTGGTGTTCAGCAAAGATACAGTAACGCAGAACTGGAGAGAATGCTGGCTGCTTTGAACACAACTGCTTCACAAAGTGGATTAGGATTAAGAAAATTGTTCTACATAACTGGTTTCAGGATTTCTATTGGATATGTAGATTGGGTAGGATTTGGCTATCTGAGGATATGACACTGTATCATTAAGAGAGATGTAGCCAAGAAGAACACAGCACAACTTTCCAGTATGGTGCAGCAAGATACCCACTGTGTAGCACATAGGAGGTTGACTGAACCTAAACATTGACATTTGACCAAAACTGAGGGTGTGTATATTCATGAGATTTAAGTAAAACATACAAAAAATGTTATTTACGAAATTCAAGTGTTTGCTTCCAATGATAAAGATAGTGAATTGGTAACTGTAGAAAGAACTTCCGTCCCCACTCTTATCAAGTACTACTTGGTGTGCTGCTTACTGCAAACTTCTCTGGTGCTTTTGCTGTCTTAAAGTTTTATGCTATTTGATTAAGTATTAATAGAAAAATGTTTACAGTCCTTTCTTCATCTGAGTTATTTATAAAGATATGAAGATATATGCACATATAGACACATATTCCACCTGGTGATGATAATGAAGATAACCATGTAATAGTAAGTACCGCCTTTAATCCCAAGAACAGAGCTCTCAAAGGATAGTGGTGTTTCCCTGGGTTTACAGATGAGGCAGATTTAGCTGCACTGGTTCTAGAACTCTCTTCACTTTCTGCTACCTGGGACTAGTAATTGGCATCTTTTATGCATGGACTTTGGAATACTTACCATTACCTTACCTGCTCTTTTTAGTAATGTTTGACTATTTATCCAAAGGATATTTTAAAACTATTACTCTTTCTTAAACCTGCTAAATGAAAAACAAACAAACAAACAAACAAAAAACCCATTTGCCACTTGAGAGAAGTCAATTTTTTTTTTGACTATAGGCTTTACAGATCCGTTTTAATCCAACTAATCACCGCAAATAAAAGTGTTTCATCCTTTGAAGCAAATATTTGAAAGGTGTTATAAATAAATCTGTTATCACTGTATTGCATGGCTAAATGTGAATTTGATCGCCTTTCATTTCTCATGGAAACAGTTATGATGGTATACAAGGTAATCTTGAATAACCTAATTAGCCATATCTTATATCCTTTAAGTCTTATGTAATAAATAGTTTCATATAGCTTTTTTGAAAAACAAAAATTAAGTTTAAAAGTTTTGTTTTTTGTTACTTTATAAAAATGAATGTATATGAAAATGCATGGCTATTTACAGCTCATCCTATTATTAAGTAGTCATAAGACTATAAAGGAAGCCTTTATAAAGAAACCTTTTTTATTTGAAATAATTTTGTACTTACACATTGCAAAGAGGGAAGGCAGTTTCCATATATCTTTCACCAAATTGCCATAAACTTCTTAAGCATAACTGGGGAAGTTTAGTATTCTGGCTAACTGATGATCTTTGTACTGTGCAAAGATTCAAATATATGTAAAGGATTCAAATTAATAACTTAGAAAATTATGATTTGTCTGGACTAAATTTCTTTTAATCTTTAATATAATATGATGAAGTTTTTTTTTTTTTTTTTTTTTTTT